CTGAAAAATATTTCTTTGATTTCAGAATAGTATGTGTACTACCACTATCTGCTATACAAAGATCTCCAATCTTTTCTTGGTGTTGTGCTCCAGTTGGACTCATATTAAACTTCACATATAAAAGGAATAATAAGTGAATAAACATAATCATAATTATTATTAAAAAGAAAGCTCATTTATTGTAGGAAAGACATTACATGAAAAACAAACGAAGGAAAAACAGTTTTACTAGAACAATAATAGATTTTTTTTAGTTTATGTCTTCCATGTCATTACAGAAATCAGCAACATTTAGCGGAGTGAATTCAACATTATCAATGAGGTTTGCTTCTTTTCCTTTTCCTTTAATGGACTCTTGATAAAGTTGACAAAGATGTGCAGGTGTGCGACAGGTCCTTGACCAATGGCCTGTGCTACCACATCTATAACATGAACCATCAGATTTTTGTGATGTCCCAGTGTCATGCCTTGCCACTTTGGCCTTATCTTGTGTGTGGACATTGTTTCTTTGTGAATATTGGTAATTATTCTTTTCTGGCCACGACCACGATTATTACCTTGTCCACGACCAGAATTATGGTTCTGATTATGGCTTTGGTTTCGATTAAAATAGCCACGGCCTCGTCCTCGACCACGACCTCGCCCTCGTCCACGTGTATTGTTTCGATGACCATCAATATTTGTAGCATTTGCTTCAGGAAGTGCTACTGATCCCGTTGGACGAGATTCATGGTTTTTCATTAAGAGTTCATTGTTTTGCTCTGCAACGAGCAGACATGCATTCAGTTCAGAATATCTTGTGAACTTTTGCATCCGATATTGTTGCATCAAAGTAATGTTTGTTGCATGAAATGTTGAGTAAGTTTTCTCCAACATATCTTCATCAGTAACCTCTTGTCCACAATACTTGAGTTGTGAACATATTCTGAACAAAGCTGAGTTGTATTCATTTACTTTCTTGAAGTCTTGAAACCTTAGTGTTCTCCATTCATCTCTAGCATTTGGAAGTATAACTTCCTTTTGATGATCAAATCTTTCTTTCAAAAGATTCCAGAGAATACTTGGATCAGTAACATCAAGATATTCAAATCTCAACATTTCATCAATATGCTTACGAAGGAAAACTTGTGCTTTTGCTTTGTCTTGTGCCAAGCAATTATTAAATTCATATATAGTATTTGAGATACCCATGGATTCAAGATGCATTTTTACATCTATCATCCATGGCACATAGTTTTTCCCACTAACTTCAAGTGCTGCAAACTCGAGCTTTGCAATGTTGGACATAATGTAACTATAAATTTTAAACAAAATAAAAATTAAAATTAAAATCCATTTATTTCAATAAATATTACACAAAAAAGAAGCGGTAAAGCTAACATTGCATACAAGCCTAAAAGTAGATGAAATTCCATATTATCTTCGATGTTAAGGATTGGGATGAAAAGTAACATGACTATTATAGTCATGATTATCACAAAAGGATGAATCATCTTGAAGCTTGATTTCTTGAAATTGATTTATTTGATAGAAGAGAGAAATATTTGTTGTGGGTAAAATAAGCAGGGTAAAGATGTTTATTTATGGTAAAAAAATATAGCCGTTGTTTTTGCTGTTTATAACCGTTGCATATATATTCCCGTTGTGTATATATGTATATGTATTTTATAAATCATATAATAAGACTTATAACTAATACATAACTTTACTAATTAGAAACATAAATAAATATTAGTAAATGTTTAAATAAAATTATGAAGAGTATCTAAAATATAAATAAACATTGACATGTATAAATAAATATAATTTAAATGTTAGTATGCACAAATAAAAGTTAGTAGCATAATATAAATGTTAGTATGCATAAATAAAAGTTAGTTGCATAATGTAAATGTTAGTTTGCATAAATAAAAATTAGTTGCATAATGTAAATGTTAGTATAAAAATTAGAATACATAAAGAAATGTTAGTATAAGAAATAAAAATTGTTAGTAGTCCATAATGTCCATAATGTATAAGTTTCATTAATTCATTAGTATTATTATTATTTTAATATGATTGAGGTTTTTATAATTAATAGTGTTTTTAATAAGTAATACATACCTTGATTAAGATAGATGTGATTTTCCACTTGTTTAATAACCTTGATTAGAGCTTTCGTGCTGATAACGTGTTATGAATTAAGCGTAATTAATGTAACTATAAATCAAACCAAACTAGTAAACTTTGATAAGAACTTTAATTGAGAAGAAAGAATATTTAGAGAGAATATGAAAGTTATATCTCTTATAACTTTTGGTGTGTCACATTCTTTACAATGGAGGGGTATTTATACTACAAATTTTACTAACATATAATTGTAACTAGTTAGAAATGTTGACAAATTTACCATGCACCAATTATTATGTCATCCACCAATTATTTACAACACCACCACATATATATATATATATATATATATAATATATATATATATATATAGAGAGAGAGAGAGAGAGAGAGAGAGAGGGGGAGGGGGGGTTGGGGTGAGTATTTTCTTTTTTATTTCTGTAATAAAAATTTGAAAAAAGGAAAATACCAAGGACAAATATGTCTTTATAAAAAGTTTTGAAAAATTTGGAACAAAATCAAACTTTTGGACCACTGGCACGAGTCCAAACCGTTTTGGATCAAACATACGAGTTGTGACATAACACAAGACCATTCTTGCGATTTTGTCCATTTAGTAACATTTCATTTTGTCGCATGATTATATTTGTTTGATTAATTAAGCTATTTAATTAAACATATAAAATAAAAATAAAAATATTTTTATAGAAGTTTTTATCGATAAATAATAATTTTCAAAACTTTCAAAATAACATAGATATCAAAGGCTAAAATCAATGACTTGGAGCCTAGTTGGGAAGAGACATGAGTTTTATACCCATATGATGTTGGAGGTTGGGACTTCGACTCCCGCAAGCCCTCTTTAAAGTTTGATAAAAATGTTTTATCTCCTCATGTGGAAATTTCTTCCTGGAATCCCTATGGGGTCGTCTCTGCCCTATTAGATGATTTGATCTCGGGGTCTTCATTAAAATAATGCGAAGAGCTTTCCGTTGAGACATATTGCCGTTCCATAAAAAATAAAAGACTAAAAACAGTGTCAGGTCAACATTTTATTTATATCTTTTTGGTTATTTAAATATTAATGTTATTTTTCAAAAATAAATTTATGCTTAAGCATTAACAAATTATGATGGATATTTATATAATATGAGAAAAATAGGTTGTCCACTGCCCATTGGCTCTCCTCAATTGTAAGGTTTGGGAGATAAGACTCATCATTGACGATGCTACTAAACAACCTCTTTCTGAAACTGCATCATGCATCCTTCTTCTGACCAACTCCTGATTGAAGCCCTAAGATTTGTACTTGTGACCTCCCAAAGGGTGTCCAAATGTTACTAGGTGAGCCTTCACCAAGGTGTAGGTGTATATAACATATGAGAGAAAGGTAATGATAAATAATTAATTTAAAAAAAAATCAAAAAACTAACCATTGAAGTAAGTTTATGAAACATGTTTTTATGAAATAAAGCTAAATGGAAACTCACATGAACAAATTTTGTTCCATCGACACCCATTATTGTGAATCAGTACGGAATTAGAACCTACTTCATAATTCCAAGGCACAATGTGAAAACCATACCAACTCTGTTTCATTTTTAACGAATTTTATGAATCAACAATAAACCCTAATGAGCTCAACAGAACTATTCATATATGAATCAATACGACTGAAAGACCTTCAAGAAACTAAAACGCAATTCTAGTCTTATTCCAGGGGTCCAAATGTCATCTTCAAGTCTACATCGCAGGTTCTAACAAGAGGCAAAAAAAAAAACAGAGAGATTCAATCGACCAAAAGAATTGGAGTTTGTAAGCACGATTCATAGGGGAGTACTATCCAAAATTGCATTTGATATCTTTTTCTCGAGTTCAATTTCATCAATCCATATGGAACTTTGACGACGCAGTAACTCATTCTTCTCTTTCTTCTTCTCCATGATCTTCTTCTCTCTCATCTTGTGGTATTCAAGCTTCTCGGCTCTTTCTTTCAGCTGCACCCACAAATTTCAATATAAGGAACATATACTACAGGGCCTTAAGCATTCAAACAAGGGTTAAATCAAATTGAGTAACAACCTATATGTCATGGATGATATGAACTATGCTACCAATAGAACCCTAAATCCTAATCGTATGAGACTATGAGTAGGATAAGAGTTACCAATTCCTGATTAGTAACAAAAAATTGTGTTCATTTTAATTTACCAAATCCAACTTTAACTTTGTGGTGAACCCTAGGTGAACCTTGATGGGAGGATAGGATAACTGGGTGTGCACAGAATGAAATGGAGAAAACTGGTGAAATTGAAATGTTCTACCATTAATGGAAGGAAATTCGACGTACCAGAGTTTGCCGGAACTCCTCCTCAGCAACCTGACGTTCGGCGGCTTTAGCCTTTTTCTCGGCTGTTTTAGCGGCTCTACGCTCTTCACTTTCAATCCTCAGAGCTTCCTTCTTGATCTCATCTTTCCTCTGTTTCTCAAGCCTCTGAAGCTCCATTTCATGGATGTACTCCTTGCGAACGGCTTTAACCTTTTTCGCATAGTCACGACGGAGCTGATCGAGCTTCGCTTGAGCCTCCTTTGGATCCTTCGGTGGTTTCCAGCTGTTGAGATAATGATTGGGGGAAAGATATTCTTGGTTGCGTTGGTGGTCATTGTGATGAGAAGGCGCAGTGGTGGAGGAGACAGATCGGTGGTGGACAGTAAATATGGTCCTCAGTGTTGGAGAACGGAGGAGCAACCGTGGGCTCGCCATTGACGTCGGCTATGGTGAGGGTTTTGGAGATCTTCGTATGTAAAGTTCTTCTAGCAATTTTACTTTCTAATACATAACTTTCATATATTCCATTTTGGCCCCAGAAGTTCCTAACCTTTTAGTTTCGACACGAATTTCACACTCCCTATTTCTCTAACCTCCGCCACTGCAATTCATTTGATGATTCCCTCCCAGTTCTTCTAAATTCTTTCACTCAAAAATCTCATCATCATCATCCATAACAAGATCCACCTTCCACCATCAAATCTCTCTGTTTCTTAACTGAAACCAAAGTTCGATCTCGGTATTCCACTGGTCTCTGTAAATGAGGAGGTATATCACAAAACACACATTGATCTGTTCGTTTGTGCGTTTGATTTCTCGTATCTGATATTACCGGATTTTGGATCTTACCGGTGTATTTACAGGCCCGGAGAAGGAACGACGCTCAAAAGATTGCATCATAACCGACACCAGCTGAAGCAAGTTAAAGGACTGTTCGGAAAACTCGTAGTTGCAGCTATCTTACTCATTGCTCCGACTCTCTACTTCGTATACTTCTTCAACACTAGTTCATCATCATCATCGGACTTTCCATCTGAGGTCACTTCTTAACAATTCCTTTTCGCTCAGTACTTACTTTTGCGTTAAATTCTTCGTTTGCTTAATTGTACTTGGTTATGAATCCGAGCTCCTGCATAAATGCACGAATCGTTATGCAAATCGAGATGTCATAACCTGTTTGCAAGAAGATGATTAGTTTTTTCAACAGCCATTTCTATAGCTTATGGACTTTTAACTCCATTTTTACGCAGATTGATGTTCAAAAACTCTGGGATACAGCTGATTCTGGTGGTTGGATACCATCATCTGCTCCAAGATCTGACTGGCCTCGTATGTACTTTTGGTGTTCTTGATCTGTTTCCATCTTACCCTACTGTTCTTGAATTTTGATATTCTGTATTAATCTTTGATTCTTATTTTCAAACATTCATAGCTCCTCCAAATGAGAGTAATGGGTATCTGCGTGTCCGTTGTAATGGGGGTCTGAATCAGCAGAGAACAGCGGTATGTTTCTTATAATGTTGACCATTTATATTCCTTTTTTTTGCACATTTTTAGTGTTCTTTTGAGGTGATAATTAAATTAGTTGTTGATACATTGATATTTTATATTTACTATGACATTGTAATTGAGGATGCAACTTTGTGTAGATCTGTAATGCAGTTCTTGCTGCCCGAATTATGAATGCTACCCTTGTGCTGCCCGAGTTGGATGCAAATTCCTATTGGCATGATGACAGGTATCTTTATCACTGAAATTATATTAAGAAAATTTGAGAGACTTTGTTTGAAAACACCTCTGAAAAAAAATTATGTAAACATTTCAATTACTTTTTCAGTGGTTTCCAGGGTATCTATGATGTTGATCATTTCATCAAGTCATTACAACATGATATACAAATTGTAAAAAGCATTCCAGAAATCGAGAAGAATGGAAAGACAAAGAAGCTAAAAGCTTTTCAGGCATATTTTCAAACTACTTAAACTTCATCATATTCATGATACTATTAAGTAATAAACATGGTTAAATGTTGCAATATGAAGAAATAAAAGTACATTGCTATTTCTTTCCTTATTGTAGCTTCGGCCACCAAGAGATGCTCCTATCCATTGGTATACAACAATTGCTTTGGAGAAAATGAAAGAACATGGTGCAATTTATCTCACTCCTTTCTCCCATAGATTAGCAGAAGAGATTGATAACCCTGAATATCAACGGTTAAGATGTAGGGTCAATTATCATGCCCTAATTTTTAAGCCACATATAATGGAATTAAGTCACAAAATAGTTAATAAACTTCGGTCACAAGGTCATTTCATGTCAATCCATCTTCGATTTGAAATGGATATGCTCTCTTTTGCAGGGTAAGTTTAAGTTACCATTACTTTTCTTGTAATTAATTTATGGTAATATGTTTATAGGAAATCTCCAATAAAGTCCCAATATTTTGGGACAATTTACGGTTTAATCCGAAATTAATTTATGTTTACAAAAAAAGACAGATTACCAGCTAAAACTTCGCAATAACCCTTTTTGGCTGGTTTCGCAAATTTAGCCAGTATTCAGTCTTTTTTCGTTAATTGGTTAAAATATTGAGACTTTTCTAAAGATTACGTTATCTTTTACCAATAACCAAAATATTGAGATTTTTCTGAACCCTTGAACTAATCTATATTATTATGTTATTTTTTACCAATAACCAAAATATTGAGACTTTTTTGAAGATTACCCTTGAACTAATTTTGGTTATTGGTAAAAAATAACGTAATCTTCAGAATTTTGACAAATTAACGAAAAAACACGGGATACTGGCTAAATTTGCGAAACCGGCCAAAAAGGGTTATTCCGAAGTTTTAGCCGGTAATCTGACTTTTTTTGTAAACAAAAATTAATTTGGGATTAAACCGTAAAATGACCCAAAATATTGAGACTTTATTGGAGATATCTCTATGTTTATTATCAGTGTTTGCGATTATTTATTTATTTATTTATTTATGTGGCAGGTGTTTTGATATATTTTCCCCCGAAGAGCAAAAAATTTTGAAAAAATACCGTGGTGAAAATTTTGCCGAAAAAAAACTAATTTATAGCGAAAGGAGGGCTATTGGAAAATGTCCATTAACTCCAGAAGAGGTACCTTTAATATAATCAGCTAGTTTTTACCAAACGTTGTTACCATATCAACCAGCTAACTTTTCACTTTTCAGCCAGTCTGCCAAACACAGTGATTTAACTTTTATATAATTCACAGGTGGGCTTGATATTACGTGCAATGGGGTTCAACTCCTCGACCCGAATATACCTAGCCGCCGGTGAACTATTCGGTGGTGAGCGGTTCATGAACCCGTTTCGGTCCATATTCCCTCTCCTCGAAAACCACACGAGTGTGGACCCCACCACCGATCTTAAATCCAACGCTCAGGGCTTAATCGGTTCAGCTGTCGATTACATGGTCTGTCTGTTATCAGACATTTTCATGCCAACGTATGATGGCCCAAGTAACTTTGCCAATAACCTTTTGGGCCATCGCCTCTACTTGGGCTTCCGGACTGCGATTAGGCCCGATAGAAAAGGCCTTGCTCCTGTTTTTATCGATCGGGAAAAGGGTCGGGTTGATGGGTTTGAAGAAGCGGTTAGACGGGTTATGATGAGGACTAGTTTTGGTGGGCCCCATAAGCGCGTGTCACCCGAGTCTTTTTATACAAATTCTTGGCCTGAGTGTTTTTGTCAAAAGTTGGGTGTAAATCCGGCTCATAGATGTCCGAATGATATGATGTAGGTAGGGTTTTGAGAAATGAGAGTTATTAGTATTTTAGGTTTGATTCTTTCTTGATGTGGTTACATTTGTATTTAAGTCTATAAATATACTTTGATTTTGGAGTCTTATAAAAGCAATGTTGTTTGTGTAATAACTACTAACCCGACCCGAACCCGAACCCGATTAAGACGAATAGAGTCGGGTCTAAAATTGGAATCGGGTTTATAGGTCGATCCGAATAACATGTAACATATATAGGGTTGGGTTCAGGTATATATCATTGCATTATTTATCTTTAAACTAAGCTATTGGACTACCCAAAAGACTTGAAAAAACACAGCTTTTAGAAGCAAACAGATTTGGTTCTTTGGGGCAGCGGTAATAATGGAAAACAGAAACAAACAGGAAAAATTCTTTGGGGCAGAGATGTCATAGATGCATAGTCGTTTTACCATCTTTTCAAGACTGTCACAGATTATTATCAAGGCTGTCACAGATTATTCCTATAATGCCCCTGATCTGGAAATGATTGTAGTTATGGTAGATTACACCCTTTTCTAAACATGTTAAGATGAAACAAAACAAATTATCTCACAAGAAGGAAAACAGAAATTAGAGATGACCATTTTGCCCTTGGTTTGGGTCTTTAACATACCAGACTTAAAATATACTTAAAACTGTTAAAAATGGAACAAAATGAAAAACAGTTGAAGGGACATAATGTCATTACATTTCAATAACAAAATAATACTAGATTCCAAGTATAAAAAATATCACAAAACCCATTTCGGCTCCTAAATCTAGTATTCAAAATGGCAAATACCATAAAAGCCACTATATTTTCACGCGTTTTTAAGAAAAAAGCCCTATTATTATTTTTTGGTTGGCTCTGGCCACAAATTGGATATAGAGTTACCACTCTAGCCCATTTAACGATTTTCATGGTTAACTTGTTAAATTTTTTGCAAAATCAGTCCTAAAAGTTCAAATTTGGTCCATGTAGTTTGCAAAAAATTTACACATGTCCAAAACTCGGTTTTATGTTTTTTAACTTCTTTATTTTCATTTATTTTTTTTATTTTTTAATCAAAGCTAAACTTGCTTTTATATTTTTTAATTTTTTTTATATTT